TATCACCTTCTAGCAAGGTCACGAATCAGAACATCTGTGGGCGTGTCCAACACGGCTATCAGTGAGGGATATCTGGATGCTCTCTCACTGAGGAATTGCGCATCACAGTACCTCATAAGGGTACCATGTTTGTGGCAACACCCTCTCAGCCTACCTCCAGTCAAGCTGAACATAAACTTAACAAAGATCTGCAGTTTTCTTACTGTTTGTTTTTAGCTAAATTTCTGTGTATGTTTTAACTCTAGCAAGGTCACATGTGGGCATGTCCAACACGGCTATCAGTGAGGGAGATCTGGATGCTCTCTCTGAAGAATTGCGCATCCCAGTACCTCATAAAGGTACCCTGTTTGTGGCAACACCCTCTCAGCCTACCTCCAGTCAAGCTGAAAATTAACTTAACAAAGATCTGCAGTTTTCTTACTGTTTGTTTTTAGCTAAATTTCTGTGTATGTTTTAAATAAGGCTGTATAGATCCATCTGTGACGAACACCAAAAGATTTTGCATTCGCTTGCTTGTGAAGTTATATTTATTTATTTATTTAAAGTATTTATTAGCTGCCTTTCTACTTTATGGGAACTCCAGGCAGCTTACAACATAAGTAAGGATAACATACAATAAAAATACATTAAAACTGCTAGATAAAATCAAAATTTCAAACTGCTGGTAGGCAGAAGAGCTAATGACATGCGATCATGAATAAAAGTGTCTTCGGCCATAGCAAAAGTAGCGGATCCAATTTTAAACAATTAGTTTCTGCCTGCTTTAGAATTCACTTCCATATTTTGCATTTGGATGCAGTTATATTTAAGGCAATTTTTCTTTTTTCTTTTTTGCTGGTTGATAAAAGAGGGTGACTCAGTTGACAAGTCCTGTTTTGGTCACAGCCTTTGACAAGTGCCCCCCAAAATGAACTCTGAACAAAAGGTAACATTTATTTTTTAAAAGTTGGGAAATAAAAATACCAGCCCCTCCCATCCTTTCTTTCCAGACTTAAATAGGGTTGTTGCTTCCTCTTAGCTACCTCTGGCAGGGCTGCTGTTGCTTTTAACTCCTTCATGACGAGCACGATTCCAACAAGCAAAGCCTCCTCGCCATATCGCGCACCCATGCTGAGGAAAGCAGCATTGGCTGAATTGGCACCTGCTATGCATGTTTTTTGTTAATGTCATAGAACCCATAGTATTTTGGGGGTGGTGGGGAAAGCGGATGTAGAAAAGTTGGCAGTTCTGAAAAACAGAACACAAATTCCAAAAATGATGCTAAATTGATTGGGAGACTGCAAAGGATTCTGGGCAGTGGTCCCTTCTTGGAACTCGGCCTAGCGAGCCCTGCGGTTGCTGTTGCCATGGAGACAGGGTTGTGATTTCTTAAATACGGTTTCTCTTCCAAATGGGGGATGCTGTGTTTTTAGTCTCTCGCTTTTCTTGGTTTGAAAGCCCATGAAAACCGAGAGGAAGAAGCTGGGGTTTCCCTGGAAGTCCCTATGCTCTAGTTGTGGGTCCAGCATGCCAGTGTGGCTCCCTGGCTGGCCCACAAAATCTTGGAAAGTCTGCCCTCCCAGACCGTTTTCAACTTGGCATTGTGGAGAAGGGAGAGGTCTCTCAGACTCCAAGAACCATTGAGGGTTGACCCTTGGGGTGTGTGGAAGGATGGAGAGAAGATGCTATGTGTGGACTTTCATTTACTTGCTCAGGATTGCCAGAGTTTATCTCTGGGGTAGTGTGTGTGCGTGCCCACATGTGAAGATTTCCTTCCTTCTACTGAGTCAGAGCATTGGTCTATCAAGCTCAGGATCTTCTCTTCTGACACGCAGTGGCTCTCAGGCAGAAGTCTTTACCATTACCTATTACTTGAGCCTTTTAACTAGAAGTGCCAGGGATTGAACATGGAACTTCCTGCATGTCAAGCAGATGGGCTACTTCTGAACCACAGCCCCACCTGCCCATAGGGTTATGAACAAGATACTATATCAGTAGACTGCATTCAAAATACTGTCTGGCTAGAGAGGAAAGCCAAAAGAAATGCTGTGTGTTCTGTACTGTCCTGGTTATTTCCTTGCCTTTTTTGGTATGGTAAGTTTTAACAAAAACAGACAGTGCTAGGAGATTGTTTAACCTTGAGAAGCTGCTTTTAAAAAATCCAGTGGAAGAAAGTCACTCGGCACATGGGCAGAGGCACTGTATTCTGTACCTAATTTGTGTATGGGGTTCCATTTTCAAAATTGGCTTTGATTCCCTTGGCACAGAAGAGGCCTTCTGCTCAGACAATCCCTCTAGGTTTTCGGAAGTTGGTTTTCCAGCCAGAAAAGTGTTAGTGGAAAAGAAACAAGAGCCTCAATTTAGCTGTCTTGTAATGCCTGGAATAATAATATGGCTTCTACCTGGTGCATAAAAGTTAACAAATCAGGTGTCGGATTGCATTCTGTAATCAAGGGGCCACCACAGAGAAGGCCCTATCTTTGGTTACCACCCATCTTAACAGCACACACAGCAGTGTATCTGATCCTGGCCTTAACCAGCAGGTGGGTTGATACAGGAATAGGTGGCCCTTCAAATGCCCTCCTCCTAGGCCATTTGGGTCTTTAAAGAGTAAGATTTAGTGCTTTGAATCAAGCCCTGCAGGTTATAGGCAGCCCACAGAGATCTTTCCAGACTGGCAGAATACCTGCCCCAGTTGGCCTTCTTGCTGCCAGATTTTTGCATAGTTCATTACAGTAACCTAACGTGTAATAATATAATAATTGTATTAATTGGGTAATTAATTTTAAGCAGCCTCAGGGGTTCAAAATGCAATGAACACCGCCTAATGTAATTATAACAACTCTAATTAACAATGGAGGTTTCCAGATCAGGTGTGCCTTATCCTACATTTTTGACGGTGGCCATGGCAAAAAAATAAAAACACAAGACACAAAAAAACCCCCAAAGGCCCAGGGAAAATGACTCAATTCCTGGCTGCCACCCTCTCTTGTACCGCTGTGCCAGTGAACTGCTCTTCCTAAAGTATGTGAAACTGATGAAGCTTGTAGGAGATTGGGAAGGACATGCTCTTGGGCTGACAGTGTACTGGGTACAGCAGTTACCAACCTTTTTGCTACGGTTGACCTACCAGTACGCATTTATTTGTTATGGTGACCCAATCCGGAGCTGGCTCAAGGTTTTTGGGTGCCCTAGGCAAATGATGACCTTGGCAGCCACCTAGTTCAGGCTTCCATTTTCTACCGTGACGAACCAGATGTTTCTAAGGAACATCTCACAGATGGGTGGAGCTGTCCCCACTATGAACCCCTAGCAAGTGGCATTCCGACACATACAGCCTTTGCATATGGAGGTTGCATTCCAGCCTTTCTCTCTATTACTCCCTCTAAACCCCCCTGAGATTCACGTTTTGCTTGATGAACACGTAGAAGAAACAAATACCAACGGATGTATGATGTGGAAGATCCCATTTCCAGGGTCAGGCCTTGCTTTTTAAAATACAAAAGGGAGAAATGGAAAGGCCAGGGATGGAGACTGCAACCCACTTTGCAAAGGACTTTTGGGTCTTGACCCACAGGTTGGGAAAGACTGTGCTAGGACCGCTGCCTGAAGGTGTCTTGCAACAGAAGCATTCTGCATCCCATAAAGGGAGTGTTGTAAGATACGGATTGGGTGGAATGAAAGAGTTCCACTGCTGGCCTTTTTGGGAAGGGCAAGGTTGAATGGGAATAGCAGAAGGCCGAAGGGAGGAATGCAGAGCTGCTGTGATATAATGGTTAGAGGGTTGGGCTATAATTGGGAAGATGTAGTGAAGCATGACTGCCAGGGTGATTCTTAATTGTCAGATGTATGTCTTTTAGCTGTGAGGTAGTAATGTGGTATGTGTATGGTGCCTAGAGATGCAGAATTTCTGGAACTCTTGCAGCTGTAGAGCAAAAGCTTCTTTTTCCGCTGGGGGAGAACCCTGCAGATATTTTGGGAAACCTTCGAATAGATGCAATAATTTCATTATTAACTGACCCAGCGAGCCATCCTAAGCAGGTCTACTTGGAAGTCAGTCCCATGTTACTGATTTGGGCTTAACTCCCAGAAAACCATCCTTAGGACGCCACCTCTAATTTTCCTGTTTTAGCAGAATAAAACGCATTACTGACAACTTAGCACAGGGGTCCCCAACACGGTGCCTGTGGCTGTCATGGCCACCCACCAAGTGTTTTTAGAAAGGAGAGGTAGGCGGTCTTTTTCCTAGCAAGGCTTCTGATTGGCCATTGGAGAGACTTGATTGGCTGTGCAGGTTTTCAAAAATGGCAGCAGCTGCCAGCACAGCATAAGGATCTTCACTGTGTGACTGAAGGTCAGCCATTTTGTGGCTGGCTTTGCCTCCTGTGGCAATTGTTTTGTGGAAGCCATTTTGTGGCTGCACCCACCACTCTGTCAGAATGCCAAAGGTGCCGTGACCTGGATAGCCAGGCAAGCCCGATTTCGTTAGATCTCGGAAGCTAAGCAGGGTTGACTCTGCCAAGTACTTGGATGGGAGACCCCCTGGGAATACTAGAGGTGGGAGGCGGGGGCAGGCTTTACTCAGCCACCTCTCTAAATATCCTCCAGGCCCCCAGTAGGGGTCAGTCACCAGAGGTCACCATGACTTCCAGGTGTGTGTGTGTACGCGCGCACACACACACACACTTAAAAAATACAAAAAAATACAATTTCCCCCCCAAAAGTGCTACCAGGCTCATAAAAGTTGGGGACCCCTGATTTACCATATAAAATTGCGGGAAATTTTGAAACCCTAGGAAAAAACCTCCCCCCCCCCCCTGAGAAACACAGAGATTTGCGGGAAACTTGAAATGTATGGAGAGTTATTTGGCGAGGCACCCTGTCGCACCTTGCAAACTTTGAATGCAGACTGCAGCGACCTCTCTGTTTCGGCTCCTGGACGCTTCATTGTGAGGCAGGTCAGCTTTGTCGGCCTGGCTGTTGACATGCGCTCACTCCTCCCGCCCCTTTCTGTCACTTAGCTCACGCCGGGGGAGATGCCATGGCGCAAGGAAGGCCAGGCCCAGTGCAGATTGTGCTCGTGCACAAGGAAGAGCACTCCTTCGAACTGGACGAGAAGGCGCTGAGTCAAGTCCTGCTGCAGGATGCCATACGTGACCTGGACGTGGTGGTGGTGTCGGTGGCCGGGGCCTTCCGCAAGGGCAAGTCCTTCCTCTTGGATTTCCTGCTGCGCTACATGTACATGCAGGTGAGGCCTTTCCCCACTAGCCCTAGGCTGGGTCTGAGTGGACCATGATTTGGAAAAGAAACACAGAAGCATAGAGCTGGAAGGGATACCAAGGATTGTCTGGTTTAGGGGTGTCAAACATAAGGCCCACAGGCCGGAACCAGCCCATCTGGGGCTCTTATCCAGCCCACAAGCAACTGATTACCTTTGTTCCCAGATGACAGAGGCTATGCGTTATGTCCCTGTATACTGTCCTAGTGCTAATGCATAACAGGCATTGGGGAAGTGGGCATCAGGGAGATACTGTAAGGAAATACTATAAATGTTTTAAGCATGTTTGTATTTTGAGTAAAAAATAATTTCGTTAATTAAATTTGCCTGTGTCCTTTATAAAGTTTATATCTCCAGTAAGGTAAAGGTAAAGGTTCCCTTGCTCGAAAGCCAGTCGAATCCGACTCTAGGGTTGCGGTGCTCATCTCCGTTTCAAAGCCGAAGAGCCAGTGCTGTCTGAAGACGTTTCCGTGGTCATGTGGCCGGCATGACTAAACACCAAGGCGCACGGAACGCTGTTACCTTCCCACCGAAGTGGTACCTATTTATCTACTTGCAATGTCTTGCTTTCGAACTGCTAGGTTGGCAGGAGCTGGAACTAGAGACAGGAGCTCACCCTGTCTTGCGGCACCAGGGTCTTGAACTGCTGAACTACTGACCTTCCACAGCCTGCAGTTCAGCGTCTTAACCACTTGAGCCACCGCAGTACCTGGCATTATATTTTATGGCACACACGGCCTGGCCCAACAAAGGGACATTTATGTCAAATCCAGCTCTTGTAACAAATGAATTTGACACCTCTAGTCTAGTCCCAACGCTTTGCACAATCCTTGACTGGCAACAGGGTATTCTTCTTAGCTCAATTTTCTTATTTTATTCTCTTCATTTGACTGTCATGAACTGTTTTTTGACGTTATAAATTGGGGAAGCTGTGTGTGGGTATATTTAAAAATGGAAAGCAATGTAGACTGTCACTAAATATGTTGGATGGTGGTGGAAAGTACTGTCAAGTTGCAGCCACCCTGGTCAGTACTACTGATTAATAGTTGCATATAATTGACCAAAATTCAGTTTAAAATATGTCTGAGCCAAAAGAGCAGGGTTTCTTGTGATGGAAGAGAAGCATATCAGGACAGAGTTGGACACAGTTGAGGAAAGGGCTCCCGAGTTTTATACAAGCTCTCCGGTTTGGATTGATTCCCAGCTAATCTAATATGAAAAGTCAATTTCTCCCTCAAAGCTAAAACCCCCGTTTCAGTGCTGTCACTTGTAGGCTGAAGATGAGTTTGGTTTTCCCCTGACGGGAAGAATCGGACGTGTCCTTTGTGAGGTGTTACATTGTCTGGGAAGAAATGTAAGGAACGAACATCCTTGGTACTGTTTTTAAAAGATTAAAAAATGGATGAGAAAAAATAAGGGGGGGGGGGGGGGGGGGGGGGGCGGGGGGCTGGTGTAAGCAGAGTGGCCAAGTGGTGACCTGGGAGGGTGCCGGTTCCAGTCTTGTCTCTGGCAAGACTTCGCTGTCCTTAAGCAAGCTGCCTTCGGTCCACCTCAGTTTCCTACCTACAGATCATAAGAAACATAGAGGTGGAAGGGGATCCCAAGGGTCATCTAATCCAACCATTTGCACAATGCCAGAAATTCACAGCCCCCCCCCCCAAAAAAAAAATGACTCCTGTTCTATGCTCTCCAGAGGAGAGCAAAAAAATCTCCAGGACCCCTGCACCAATCTGGCCTGGAGGAAGATTCCTTCCCGACATCAAAGTGGCGATGGGCATTACCCTGGGCATATAAGAAAGGGCCATGGGAACCCAGCATTGGCTCATCCCGCCCTTCTCTCCTTTTCACAACCTGCCTATTCATAGTGATCATGCTGGCCTGCTTGATGGATCGCTTGTGAAAATTGCTGTGATAATATATGTGGAACGCTATGAATGCAAATGGGAATTGGATATTGGCCGCGAGGCTTTTTGCGAGCTATTTCGCGGATAAAGTCTTGTCGCTCCGCCGTGATCTCCCCGCCACAGTTGATACAGTAAGTGAACTTGAGGCCCCTTGCACGGCTTCGCCGGGTTTGGAAGGCTTTGACCGGCTCAGCCTGGAGGAAGTTGATAGAGTGCTTGTATCTGTGCGCCCAACCACTTGCAGCCTTGATCCGTGCCCCTCCTGGCTTATTAGGGCGGGCCACAAGGGGTTTCGAGGTGCCTTGAGGGAGATTATCAACAAGTCCCTTTCGGAGGGCCGGTTCCCCGGGGCACTCAAGGAAGCGATGGTCCGCCCTCTCCTGAAAAGGCCAACTCTGGACCCGACTGAATTGGCCAGCTATCGGCCGGTGTCCAATTTGCCCTATTCGGGCAAACTGATTGAGAGGGCGGTGGCGACGCAGTTACAGGGATTTCTAGATCATGCTTCCGTCCTTGATCCATTCCAGTCTAGCTTTCGCCCGGGGCATGGGACGGAGACAGTGCTGGTTGCCCTTACTGACGACCACCGTAGACATCTGGATCGAGGTGGTGTGGCGGCGCTGCTGTTGTTAGATCTGTCGGCCGCATTTGATACGGTCAACCACCAGCTGCTGGCCCACTGCCTGCCGACGCGGGGATTCAGGGGCTCGCCCTTCAATGGCTTGTCTCTTTTCTCCAAGGTTGGGAACAGAGGGTTGGGCTAGGGGAGCAGCAGTCCCGGAGGCATCTGCTTGAATGCGGAGTGCCCCAGGGGGCAGTACTCTCCCCCATGCTATTTAACATATACATGTGCCCCCTCGCCCAGATTGTCCGGAGGTATGGGCTTGGGTGTCATCAATATGCCGATGACACCCAGCTCTATCTGATGTTGGGCGGCCAGTCGGATTCCGACCCAGAAGATCTTCACCGGGCTTTACAGGCTGTGGCTGGGTGGCTCAAGCTGAGCCGGCTGAAAATGAACTTGGCGAAGATGTTGGTCCTGTGCCTGGGTCGGGGTGGTATGGGATTGGGGCTCCCGGCCTTTGATGGGGCACCTTTGGTGCCAGCTTCGGCAGTTAGGAGTTTGGGAGTGCTCCTGGACCCCACCTTAACGATGGAGGCCCAGGTGGCGGCCACTGCCAAAGCAACCTTTTATCATCTACGGCTGGTGCGGCAGTTGGTCCCCTTCCTTAGCTGCGGTGATCTGGCCACAGTGATCCATGTGACGGTCACCTCGAGGTTAGACTACTGTAACGCTCTCTACATGGGGCTGCCTTTGTTGCAAATTTGGAGGCTGCAGCTGGTGCAGAATGTGGTGGCCAGGTTGGTAGTGGGTGCCTCTAGATGGGACCACATCCAATCTGTGCTGAAAGCGCTGCACTGGCTGCCTATAGCGTTCCGAATTCGCTTCAAAGTGCTGGTGCTTACCTTTAAAGCCCTACATAGCCATGGTCCGCCATACCTGAGGGACTGCCTTTCCCCACACAGGCCCCAAAGAGCACTTCAGTTGGGGTCACAACACCGTCTAGTGACCCCGGGCCCCAAGGAGGCCAGGCTTGCTGCCACAAGGGCTAGGTCCTTTTCGGTGGCGGCTCCTACCTGGTGGAATGAGCTCCCGGAGGAAATCAGGGCCCTGCGGGACTTGGTACAGTTCCACAAGGCCTGCAAGACGGAGCTCTTCTGCCAGGCTTTTGAGTAGGAGCCGCCACTGCCACCATCGTGGGACTGCAGAGCAGTTCTACCGTGTCGGGCTGACTGGCCAGCTGAAACATCGTGGCCCATGGCATCCCCCCCCTTTTTTTGACCCTACTGGGATATGCAATAGGGAGTAAGTATTGTAGTCATTTATGTATCCTGTGAGATGTGCATTTTTGCCTAATCTGTTTTAACTGTTGACTTTTACTGCACTTGTGCCTTAATTGTTTTAACTTGTTGTATTTTTTACCGCACTTTTGTGCCTGTGTAAGCCGCCCTGAGCCCGCGTGCGGGGAGGGCGGGGTATAAATGAAATAACATAAAATAATAAATAAATAAACATAAATATATAAGAGAAGAAGCCGTCAGACCACTGACCCATCCAGTCCAATACTCTGTGTCACACAGTGGCCCAAACCTAGGTGCCATCAGGAGGTCCACCAGTGGGGATGGGACACTAGAAGCCCTTCCACTGTTGCCCCCCAAGCACCAAGAAGACAGAGCATCACTTGCCCCAGACAGAGTGTTCCCTCTGTACCTTGTGGCTAATAGCCACTCATGTACCTCTGCTCCAGATGTTTATCCAGTCCCCTCTTGAAGCTGTCTGTGCTTGTAGCTGCCACCACTTCCTGCAGCAGTGAATTCCACGTGTTAATTACTCTTTGGGTGAAGAAGTACTTCCTTTTTAAATGTTTTGACTGGGTTGTGTGGGCCCATTCTCTAACAGTAACTCCTTCTATTAGCAAAACGTATCTGTAAGCTACTACCCTGGGTTGTAACATTACTGTACCATCACCATGAAAAAGACCTTATTTTATTTTACTTATTCGTTTGATTTATATCCTGCTCTCCCTGCCGAGGCAGGCTCAGGGCAGCTTACATAAAAGTGTAAAACACACAAAACAGCACAATCTTGCTATCAAACTCTTATTGAAAGTTTGCTAAGTCAGTGAACGGGAGACTGAACTCTCAAAAAGCCTATCTGCTTATGGTCTCTCAAATGCGACAAACTCTGCCATCTCTGCAGTCGTCCCCTCCCCCCTCCCGATTTTGGTTATCAGTTCTGTCCTGGCCGGGAGGTCTGCAATCACTCCCATCGATTTCCTTTGCTTTGCTGTTAACAAATCCCACACCAGCTGCTGGCGTTTGTTTCTGAATTCACTCATCCAGAAATGCACACAGACTGTGGTTCAGTGGGTTATAAGGCAAAGCCTAATGAATCATCTGTGTACTTGCAGATGAATTCTTTTTCCAAAATATTCTTAACCATAGGATGTTTCCACCAAATATGGAAGAAGCCAGCTTTGGTTTGGGCGTCTGTCCAGCCCTTTG